AAATTGGTGAATAAGCGACTGGGTTTTGTGGTTAGAGGTAGATGTGGACGTGCTAGTCAATGTGAATGAATGGAAGCAAAAAATTCAGAGCCGGTCAAAATTTCAACGATGCATTCTCAGCACTCAAAACAGGCGGAACTATTGTGAAGTGCACAGATAAGTGCTTTTATGTAACAAGTAGGTTTTGGGAGAGACCGATTTAGTCCCACAAACTGACTGGTTTAAAAACCGCATGTGCATCCGACTTTAGCGTGCATGGTTAGAGAGTGCTGCACACGAGGATGAAGCCCCTCATACCAGGACGAAAAAGAGCTGTAGAAAAAATACACTGCCGAAATCATAAAAAAGCAATTGATACAGTTGTATTTTGATTGCTGATTACGACAAATGCAACGATACAGTTGATCTAGTTAGGTAATCAAGTTTGTTGTACATAATTAACAAAATCGTGGCTAGCGCAAGACAGTAAGATTGCTTGAACGTACGAGCGACAAGACTGCATTAATAAGGCCAATCGTGCCATTTGTATTCGACAACGGGTTTTAATTAGCTAGAGCCACTTTAAGTCGGCATGAGCAGGCTTTTTTTCAGTAATGAGGGCCTTTGGCTTGGGATGTTTGCGCTGTGTGATTAAATACTTTAATATGATCAAGTAATGTGTGCCATCAGTAGTATCTCAATGCACTACAATAAAATACCGTTTATTTCAGGCACAGAGACGGATAGACTTTAGGGCTTTCCACAACTTATCCTCCACAACTCTCAGCCATTCTGTACGCACATGGGACCGACTACGGAAACATGCATATAGTCGGCAATAACAGAACGGAGCTACAGTAATAGAAAAGGAGTCACGTAGAATGAAAAGACAAGTTATGCAACCACGGCATGCTTGACAATACACTACATAGGGTAAAATCGCCTGTGACTACCGAAGCGAACAAAAGAGGCTTTTGAATGAAACACTAAACCACTTCCCCAAAACACCACACTCCAGCAAACTTTAAGTTCAAAAGGGTACGCAACTTTGTAATTGGGAAGCAGTATTTAGAAGGAACTGGCAACCACACCCTCACGTGCTGTCAAGATTTACGGTAAAAGAATTGGCAAAGGACTTTTAACAATTTGCAAAAAAGGAGTCAACAAAGATGGTTACTACACTTCAAAAACGTCAACACAAAAAATCAGTGCAAAATGAATCCCATCACCGAGGAATCAGTGTAGCGCCGCACAATCGTCTTTGTGAACCATCAAAAGCATAAGAAATGTGAGGAGGTTAAAAATTAATCATGTCCAATTTTCGCTTACCCAAAAGATTGCAGTCAATCGACTCTTCTAGATCTATAAGGGTATTTCAAGTTTGCGTAGTTATTTGCGACCGAATAAGAGAATGTAATCATTTCACAGCAAAACCCCGACTTTTTGTAAATGAAGCAGAGAACTGAAGGCGAAATAGGTGGTTAGCGAAATCTATCTGTCGAATCAGGCCTAAATAATTGTGCTGCGGTTAACTGAAGTTAAAACATGACACTTATAAAAGCATTAGTAACCAGATTTATTGGATGAATTTTATGGACAACGCGGGATGTAAACAATAGTAATTATACCAAGGTGCACTTAGGGGCACCCGCTAACCAATTACAGAAGTGATACGTTAGGGCCTTCGAAAGCAAAAAATAATTTCGTAGACAGTAATAGTTTGAGGAATTTGTAGTTTGCCTCGGGGACAATCCGAACGATATGCGTAGGAAATGTTCATGAGGGAGACAATGAGAATTGAGAAATACCGAAAAACTACTGTGTGTGGATTGTTTGCGGCTTTCAAAACTAACATCTGATGCAAAATGGTGTGCCACATCCAATCATCAAAAAATGACATTAATAGTTTAAAAGGAGTTTGGGACTTGCCAGATGCGTTATAAATTAATTCTAATACTATTTGCACCACATTAGATCTTACGTACGATCAACTCAACTTGCAAGATTAAAAGGGATAGCGTGGAACTTATTAGTAAGAATGCCTGTTGACTCACTGTTAATGCACCAGCTGGTCAGAATCAGGTAGAACAATCAACTCACATTCAAAAGCCGTGCAAAAGCATGAGTTTACTATTGTTAAAAGAAACTCAGTTCGAAAGCGATGAAGCCAGAAGGTTTAATAACTTCTGTGGAAGTTAGACACTGATAACATCGTTTGCAGTTCGCGGATCGAAGCATAGAAAGCCATAGTAGTCATCTCATCAAAAATAAAAGAGAAGTGAACACATCGCAAAACGTTCTCAGCGCAGTGATGACAGCACTCACGATTAATTCGACCCGTATTAGCAGTCCCAGTCGCTGGTCTTTCGCGCCTAATAAAATCAGCAATCTCGGGAACCGTACCCGCCAACGCTTCGAAACATAGCGTGTCCACCTCAGGCGAAGTATCCAAAATTGTAGAGGAGCGGGACGTATCCGCGTCAAGACCACCAAGAGATGTAGGGACACCACCACCATTAGCCATCACTACCCCTCCCTGAGTCTCTCCATCTGTCCCGTCTGCGGTCATGCAAGTGAGATGAAGCCGCTTTGCCTCATCGATAGTAGAAATAAGCGCTCGCTTCGCTTTAATCGAATCCATCTGGAAGACATGGCTGTCCGGAAAGACGAGAAGTTGCACGAGGTTGAGGGCAGCCTTTGGAGAATCGGTAGTCTTTATGTCAACCACCACCACGTTTTCAATTTCATAGAGGGCCTGCTTCTTGAAACGACGCATCTCATAACTGGAAAAGACGAGAGTATCTGTGATTTTGTGTTGATGCACTAAGGGGGAAAGAGCAAGTAAATCGATATCACCGATGAAACTCACGAGTCATATTGCATTTTCGCAATAAGAATATAGTCACTTAGAACGAAGAGATGAATGTAGCTCTGTTTTGTGTAAGTAGAAGGGTTGACCTCAATAGCATCCGTGTCAAATAGAAGTTGTCTAGCTGAGTCTTTGACTAAATTCTGATAAGTGAACCGAATTATGCGAACATCAGCCTACTGAAACACCATCAACCAAATTCATGAGAGAAGAAATTCCACTGTTCATTTTGGAGAGCTCATGAGACTCATCTCTTGAAGCTTTGTCTACAATGTGCCCCAAGATTTGCGATAAACAGATCTGCGTACCTTCTTGGAAGAGGGATTTCTCAGCCAAAGCGGAACATAGACGCTTTTGTTCAACTAGCTGGTGATCCAGTTGGTGCATCATAGCAGCAATTACTGTCACGGCTTTACTTGCGTCAATGAAAAGTTTGAAGTTATTAAAGATGGCCTTTTTCATTTGAGCTGATGCCTCATCAGTCATACGATTTAGATCTGCGATTGTTTGAATAATCTCGGCGCCGCCATTCTTTGAAATATTTGACACAACTATTTTGAACAGCAACGAACGTGAAAGGATTGATCGTTACTAAGACTTAAGAATAAACAATGAGCTGAGACAAAATGTATTCTAAGTAATTAAAAGACTGACATTTGTTAACGTCGAGATCGGGCTTGTTAAAGACTCTCCGCAATCCTGCTAAGGTGTTCGGTTCAATATCAGCCATGATTCCAGGACGGTCAGTGAAAGCCAACCGTCAACGCGGCAGGTAGTAGCCAAGATCCTTCAAAAATACGCTTAAATATTAAACAATTCTAACACAATTAAACTATTAAATTTTTAAAGCCATACTGCGCTGTCACCATCCACAATAACCAAATTTACAACTCAATTAAACATATTAATTTTGCAGCTTAAAGCGCGAGATGTTTGTTTTAATATTTATGGTACGTTAAATTTTGTCATGATTTTGGGTTTCACAGTTAATATCTCTATAACAGCATCTCAAATTACAACGAGTTTCATTTTATAATGAATTTTTTGAGAACAAAATAATTAGGCCTGAGCATGGCCCGAGGGCTAGCTTAAGCGTACAAGGGCTAGACAAATATTTAAGTGTTCGCTAGACGTCAGATGGTCACATAAGTAAATATCACACTTTTCCCCTCTTCTTTTGATCTAACTCCTCGGCACTCCCCTTGGTGCATCTATCGCGCCAGCCATCAGAGTATATTTCTATACTACAAGAAAGCACGCTCGAGCCAATTGCGCCATTCGGAATCGCTTGCACCTGTTGACCATCAATCGCCTCTAGGAATAGATGGTGGAACTCTGATCTAAAACAGATGTTTTACAGGGGAAACGGGATAAGCCAGTGTCTCGCATATAAGGAGAATCGTGGTGTCATTTCCGACACATACATGAATTTCGTAGGGAGAATATTGGCACGAAACTTTTAAAGATGGTTCTTAGCGGTGTCGCTTTAGATGTTAATACCTTGTCTGTGGAAAACGGGAATAAAGTGATGCCGAACGCAGACGTCAGTCTCAAACATCTCGTTGCGAAAGTTTTAGAGATTCTCCCACCATCGATGCAAGTGCGCCTCCTGCACACCGTTGTTACATGCTCAAACGGTACATGCTAACATAGAAGTCGTTAAAGCTATGTTGGGTTCGCTTTCTGCTGCCACCACTGGGTAGAAGAAGCAGTATGTGGAGGTGAATATATGTTTTCAAAGGAGAACAAAATAATTAGGCTTGAGCATGGTCCAAACGCCAGCTCAAGCGCACAAGAGCAAGACATCAGATGGTCACATAGATAAAGTATTACAAGGTATTTTAAATTCAACTTAACTCTTGCCATTAAATAGAAGTCTTCGTGGTGTAGCTCTAGGTTGACCCGAAGTCCAACTCATCCATGAGGCACATGATGACCGCCATTCATAGAGGTGGTCAAGTGAACAAATTGTTACAACTCACAACTTTAAACGAAATTTTAACATCAAAAGCAACTAGTTTGCCTTAACACCCCATGCGACCTACTGTCGGTACAATGCAACAGTTGATTCCGTCCTTTCCGCTTCAGCCATAGTACCTTGAACCCACTGCTGGATGCGGCGTCTCTCGTGTAGGACTTTCATTATTTGACCACCAGCTTTTTGGTGGTCACTTAAGCATTCTTTCTGACCTTCTATGCGTTGGCTGATTCTTCGGACCAAGCCAAGACCTTATTCCTTCTTCTCCTTCTAGAATACATGCATTCTGCCCAACATGGTGATTTCTTTTACCTGCTAAGAAGTCTCGGAGTGCTACATTGGTGGCAGTGGAAAACAACCCTGAACTAACGACCTCATTATTAGTATTTGTTGTTTGTAACATGTATCTACTGTGTGGAGAGGGTGCAGTTACATCGGGTAAGATGGCATCTGAATTCCTCCCAACAAAAGAGTTGAGAATGATGTCTGTGTTTGGCTGCATCTTGCCTCCATATTCCACACACAAGTTACTAACAATGAAACGACATTTGCCGTGAACTATTGGGAAAGTGCCGGAAGTTTTTTGCCCATAATCTGCGTATAGATGTCGAAAATGACACTACGGCGAATCCCTTCCTACAAGGAACCGTGTTGGACCTCGTCTTTTCTGCTTAACATTGGCCTTTGACAAATGTTCGAACGTGGAGCTCTGGAACTAACTGATGTTTACAGATGTATGCGATTCTGATTCTGCCTGTAAGACCGAACGCAACTCCAGAGCCAGCTGAAGTCGTCGAAGCGACCAAGTACTGTTCCTAAGTCTCATGAAAGCTTATGACTGGCGTGCCTGGGTTGAAGGTATTTCCACGTAGCGCCGGAAATGTTGTGATGGCTGGCGCGAGAAATGTACCCACGGAGTGCCGAGAACGAATGGAAGGGCATTGTAATACTATATTTATGCGACCACCTTATGTCTAACAGTTACTTTGGTATTCGTTTTGCCCTTGTACGCACGGACTATCCTTCTTCTTGAATTACATGTTTTCAGCCTAACGTGACGCCTTCTTCCATTTAAGGGAAGTTTCAGAGCGCTGCATCTAGACTTCTTATTAAGTGTAGAAACGAATTTGCATGGCTGAGTACATTCAGGTAGAAGGGAAAAGGTGGACTTCAGAGCAACCTGAAGGCAAGTCCACTCAGCGACCAGAACGACTAACTAATGGCGCAATAAATTCCGAATCATCGGAATCGCTGTACCATGGATCTGTGCATTTCGTCATTAACAACAAAGCATTGTCTCACATTTCCGTCTTCATGGTTGGATTTTTATTTCCGTTTCATTTTCACGATGCTTACGTTTCGTTAGGTTTCGTGCACATACCTTCGAAATTAAAGATTTGTCTGTTTGCGCCATAAATGGTGCTAACAATCAACTTACCTTATTTTTTGCCATTTCGCTTAAGCTGTAGCTGGATAGCAGGCTTCCTGTCCACCTTTGCCAGGTGAGGAGAACTTTGTCGTCATGCTACAACCCAATACTACTACTTGAACTTAATAGTAGCACAAACAATAATAATTTCAATGGTAGTGAGGCACACTAAACTCACAATTTTATAAGTAGAAATGGAGGGTTCAGTGGACGTGACTACCAAAAAGCAATCATCGCACAATTGCCACATCTCCCTAAGTTCGATTAGAAAAGTTTTCTCTCATGGTAGCGTAACGGTAATTTTTTAGGCAATCAGATGGTCTTCTTTACTCGATGTCCAATGCAGGTGCAGAATTTAGAGCACTTTGGATGACAAAGTGTGAGCTACTGAAGTGTAGCCAAATTGGGAGTTGTTGTAATCACCTTGCCTCCTGGGAAATAAATTAATGCATGTAAATGCCTGTGTGCCAGAAACAGTTCCCTCAATGCTCAGACCTAGCTTTTTCGATCCAAAGGAAGACTTTACTTAAGTCTAGACTAAGTCTGCATAGGCTATGGCTGGGCTCAGGGGCATCTGGGTCAGACTACCTCAATTTGTGTGGTTCTAGCATAAAATAGTACTGCGGCAGGGGCCTAAATTATAGCGTTTTAAAATTTGTTAAACTGTACAACGAAACGACTTTGTCTTTTAGTGGCACCAAATGCACTGCAGGTATTTAAATACAGTTTCAAGGAGCTGAGAGGTAATGCCTTTTAATCGACCTCTTACCTTGATGCATAAAGCTAGTTGAATGCAGTTCCTGGTGGGCATGCTCTACTGTCGCGCAAGGGCAAAGTAGCGGTGAACGAGGCAGTGAAACCTGCTCTCGGCCACTTGATTGAAGGTGAAGAATAGCTGACGCAGAACTTCAATTTGAGAATGGCACGGCGCTCGGCACGCATTCCTTGTCTGGCGTCACTACTCACCTGCCAAAGTGTAAATATTGCTCTCATTCATCTGGAAACAGTTCCACTTCAGGAATGGTTGCTCACCAACGTCCTATT